ATAACTCCGACTGGATTCGTCTGAAAGAAGAAAGTCATATACACCTAGGATGACTTGAGGGTGAGTAATTTATGGATTAAATTCCATTTTTGGGTGAACTAACCATTTAAGCGACTGAATGCCAGTGGGCGGGGCTATTCATCGATGTCTTGCTCTGGAGGCAGTGTTTATGCAAATGTTTGTGCCCGGGTGACGTCATCTTGCACTTCAGATCCAAAATGAGCCATTTTCTGAGCATGATGAAATAATTGCTTTGTTTATAATGAAGAGGACGTTTTAAGCTATGAAACTTGCAGGATGTTTTAATGGTACAAAGACCTACTCTACCAGGATCAGGATAAAACACACACACATAACTTACACACAAGAATAACAAACATTTATAAAAAGGTTCCCAAATCAAACTTTCCCTACTTCAAAGGCCAGACTAAAAAATGTGTCTGGGACCTAAAAACCTCTATAGACGGAGCCTGCCGAATATATAGGGGAAGACCGTTCCACAATTGTGGAACTGAAAAGGCGCAGTCACCTTTTTGGACCGAGGAACAGTCAACAACGACTGGTTTACTGATCTAAGTGACCTAGCCAATGTGTAAGACCCTAAGTGATCACTAATATAATTTGGGGACAAGTTGTGTATAGCTTTAAAAACCAATAATAAAATCTTAAAATCAATCCTATACTTGACTGGTAGCCAGTGGAGAGAAGATAGCACCAGAGTGATGTGTTCCCTTTTTTTGTGCCGGTCAAAAGCCTAGCTGCGGCAAAAGATCAAGGCAAAATGAATTTCTCATGTCATGACCCCTTTAAGGAAAGAAATATTCACCCTATTCGTGGCTGTGTTAAGATTTTTTTGGGGTGATATACAGAGGCATACTAGTGGGTCACATTCATTTTATTGTTTTGTGTAATTTCAAAGTACCATGTTCACATGCTTCAAAACAGAACAAAACAAAAACAGCATTGGAAAAGAAAAACAGATCTTACTGTATATTAAGTGTTAAGTTAACATGGAAATTGGGTAACACTTTATTTCGATAGTCCACTTTAGACATTCTATTAACAGTAAGTAACTTTGCAACTACATGTCAACTAGCAGTTAGTAGAGTATTAGTAGACTGTCTGCTTAATATCTTCTAACACTTTCTTTGTCAACTTATTCTACTAACCCTAAACCTACCCTAACAGTCTACTCTGAGAGTTAGTAGACATGTAGATGCAAATTAATGAGAATTAGTTGACATGTAGTTACAAAGTTACTTATAGTTAGTAGAATGTCTAAAGTGGACTATCAAAATAAAGTGTAACCGGAAATTGTACGTTACTGCTTGTGTATCATTTGCTTCTCACTGCCTCTTGTTTTCCTCGCTGATCTTTGATCTCTTGCGGAACGTGAACTGTCATTCCATCCATCCAGCGCTCAACAGTCACCTGACACCCCAAACGAGATCTGAGCCAATGACAGAACAGCAGCAAAAATCATTAGCAAAATTAACAAAAAAAAGAATGTGAATTTTTTGCAGTATAATTTAACGACAGCACTGTTTAGTTAGTATGTTATTATTTTGTATTTTAGAAACCATTAAGGATACTACATAACTTCTAGCATTATGTCAAAAGTATATACGTTCTGAATAGCATCTAACTTCCTTGACATTTACCTGCGCATTTGCTTCAATGTCTGTGCAAATAAAAGTTGGCATTTTTTGTTTTATGCTGAGGATGTAGTGAGGATGTAGTGAGGATGTAGCTGATTGAACTAATGTATGATGCATTTGATTGAGATAATTAACCTGCTAGCAATCCACTTAAGTTTACTTGTGCTCAGCTCACTTCTATTTCATTTGCGCATTGTTGATATCTTACAGTACTCTTTTTCTTGTCATAATTCACCAACCATTTAAGTGAAATCATTTCTTTATTGTCTAAGATGCTGTGATTACAGACATCCCACCCTGCAAAAACTCATTTCAGGGAGGTAACATTACCCCCCATCCCCAGCCATGAATAATACATGAATAAAACTCTTAAATTAAAGTAATGTTAGCACCAAAATCATAGCTATTGTCCCTTATCCTTTTAATTTGCTTTCATGCTCAAACATAATCAACATACTCGGGGTGATTCATTCAATAGCATTTGTGCACATTGTGATGCAGAATGTGATGCTTATCGGAGACACATTCAAGATGCATGTATACAGGTGGAAATGGTAACTGCATGTTCGCAAACAATTTGTTACTGGATCACTGAAATTGCATATTAAAACCCTGGAAACAGGGCTTCCCTCTCTCTCACTCGATTTCCAGGAGTCTATGAGTTTCCCATTTGCGAGAGTCAGGGAGCTGCTATCAATATGCAGGAGACGGATGTCTGTGATTAGCATTGGATGAATCATTCTAAATCACTTAAAGCTATACTGACTTTACAGTGACACTTTAGATCAGGGATGCCCAACCCTGCTCCTGGCGATCGACTGTCCTGCAAAGTTTAGCTCCAACTCTAATCAAACACACCTGCCTTTAATTTTTAAGTGATCCTGAAGACCCTAATTAGTTGCTTCAGGTGTGTTTGATTAGGGTTGGAGCTGAACTTTGCAGGACAGTTGATCGCCAGGAGCAGGGTTGGGCACCCCTGCTTTAGATCCAGGTGTCTTACGTCTTGGTGAGTCCATAAGCCAAATCCAGCATGTCAACCTCTTCATCCACCATTGGCTCCAGTTTGTCATACACACTCTCCTCAAATATCAGGTGACAGGTGGAACAGGCCAGAGTGCCCTCGCATGCTCCTAAGACACACACACACACACACACATTGAGTTTCGATGTTTTATGGGGACATTCCATAGACGTACATGTAACGGTTTTTATATCGTACGAACTGTATTTTTTATCCCCTTACTCTAACCCTACCCCTAAACCTACCAGGATAAGAACAGAACCACATTTTTTATTGTTTTTTTTTGCTAAGAATAAATAGGTAAACATAATTTCTGTACATAGTACCTTTCATATATTTTAATGTTTGCAATGACAGAAATAATGATTTGTGGGATGATAGTAAAATATATATGTAAAATGCAAAAAAAAACATTTAAAAAATGACGCAAATTGATTTCGTGTTTTAAGGTGTAAGGTAAGAATATCACAGCAAAAATAAACAGTTTATAGGCGCAGTTGGGTATTCTCAATGTTTTTTCAGTTGTATGTGTCAGCAAGAGAGAGCACCTTCCTTTTGACAGCTTCGACAAATGCTACAAAGAAGTCTGAACCGTCATATGTGTGTGGGAGCTGGAAAAAAAAATATTATGACACCAGAGCAAGATATAATCTTACAGAACTATTTATAAGTTAATATAAATGTAACATATCTACTGTATCTATATCTATATCTGCAGTATATCTATCTATCTATATAATTTTTTATGTAAGTTAAAGGGGTTATATGATGCGATTTCAATTTTTCCTTTCTCTTTGGAGTGTTACAAGCTCTTGGTGCATAAAGAAGATCTGTAAAGTTGCAAAGACTAAAGTCTCAAATCCAAAGAGATATTCTTTATAAAAGTTAAGAGTCAGCCACACCTACCTAAAACGGCTCGTTCTAACACGCCCCCACATGTCTACGTCACTGTGTGGGAAGATTTGCATAACGTCGCCCAAATGTTCACGCAAAGAAAGAAGGCGTAACTTTTATTCTTGCTGTAGTATTGTTGCCGCCATGTTGTGAAGGCGCTGTGTTTCATTGTGAAAGCGAAACTACTTTGTTTGGTCTTCCAAAAGAGGACGATATCTGCTTCGTCATGCCTGGAGCTGATCCGTGCTGGTTGCTGAGGAAATACGTATGTGGAAAATAATGTGTTTTTTGAACCTTAACCCGCATAAACACATTGCATTACACCAAATACACCAAATAATGTTCTATTTAGCAACATCATATGACCCCTTTAAGTATAACAATAATAACAAGAAATATAACTTGTTTTTAGAAGGAGGATCGGAACATAAAATTGATCCCGCACAGATCTTTAGATCCAATCAATTCTCAATATACTGCACATTATCAAGTCCCACCCCAGATTTTTTATTCTGGTTTAAGAAGCTGTTTCAGTGAGATATAGGCTACATCACATCAGAGAAGAAAAGATGAGCATTTCTATTTCATGCTGACTGAAATTCAGCATGCAAAATTTCATGCTGAAGTAAAAAGGATTTTGTCACATGTAAGCCATAACAAAATGGTTTAGAATAAGTTCAATGGAAAACAAGTAGTAGGAACATCATTACTGAGCCATGACACACACACACACACACATTTAAAACAGATGGGACTTAGATTGATCACATGAAGCCAAAATAACATAAAAAAATGGTCTCATTACCAAAGCCACTGATGTCAAGATTCTTCTTGATGACAACGTCTAGAAGAGTCTCTCCCTCTGTGACAAACACACTGCTCTTTACCCCCGACTGATTTACAAAGTGCACCAGCACTTTAGAGCCCGAGGAACTAAGAACACACACAGACAAACACACTGAACTCATTTCATTGCACTGATGTTCCTGGTAGAGGCATTATTACTGACGGAAAAAAAAAACACAAAAAAACAAGTACAAATAGAATTGTAAACAATGGATTGACTTGATGAGTCAAACAGTGTTAAAATGAAATACAGTTTCTGAGCAGGAACAATGGTTATTTTATTATTTTTTTTAGTATGCATTTTAAAGAGGTAGAATCTGCAGTGTTCTGCACTAATTTAACTCTTGATTACACAAGGATGTTGATTAGTTTTAATCATTCAATGTGTTTGCAATCTCTTAATCATTCATGTGTAAGGGAGGACCCTTATGATTGCTCAGTTGGGCATTAATGAATTGCCTGTAAATTACAGACAATGACACACTCAACGGACACCTTTGAATTTTGTGATCCCAGACCAAATGAAAAAAGAAACTTTAATTAGACATTTGTCAAAGAACATCATGACATTAAACATGATCTTCTGGCCTTTCTTAGTCTTTAAACAGCGCGGTTAAATAGCAAAGCCCAGAAAAAGGCTACAATTTGAGTGTTTTTGGACTTGCTATAGAGTAGAAAATGAAAAGTAGATTACCGTCCTCTCAAGACAAGAAAAATTACCCTGACTAGGGCATTTGTCCTTGTCATTGCGTTTATGTGAACAGTCATAATTGAGTTATGGGTTTATTTGTCTGTACTTGTATGACACTATGCGTAACTGAATATTTAAGTCATTAAATACACATCATCTCATGTGCACAACGGCGAGGCCAACTGTAGGTCGATTAATGTGTATACATGCTGGACCATGTTGAGCTACAAATCATATTATCTAAGTCTGTTAGTCCAACTTTGCAAAAATCTGACTGGCACAATTTCAGTCAGACATAAGAGTTTATTCTAAAACAGTCTAGGTTTATAAGTGACTATTCTTTGCAAACTTGCTTTGGGACTATTTGCATTTTTAATTTAAGTGAATTAGGTGGTTCTGTGAAGCAGATGACAAATGCCATGTCAGATTTTTCGTGTGACTGTTCCCATTCTAGACTTTTCAGTGATGACTCATGCACTATGCACAGGAGACACATTTCATTGTCACCCATCCATGAATAGCACATTGTTGCATCCCTGCATAGTTTGACAGCTGTGTACCTTTTTTGCTTTGGGTTATACTTCCTCAATCACACTCTTCTGAGTTTTGGATTTTCCTACTAATACGTTAATTTATGTGGGTTGGGCTAATTAATGGAGGTTGTTGCAAGTTACTGAGGCCTTATATTTTAACTATTTCTTTCATATATAGAGAGATATGTTTGAGGGAAAAGGGGGTATTTAAAAAGGTGGTGATAGATTCAAGGAAGTATGACGTGCTGGCTGGGGTTTACGTGAAGAAATGATATGTAGTCTTGAGGAGAGCCAAAAGTGCTGATGTCCTCGGGATTTTACAAATATAGCCCACTTCCAAACAAATAAAATTCCACAAAATTCCCAATTTTTTTCCTTCATCACCCACACACATTAGCTCACAACAGATGCACTTCTTTATTACGAAATATTATGCATTTAAATCGGAAACGTTACACAGAAGAAGCCTAAACAAAACCTAATTATATTGTAAACAATTAATCAAATTAACTACATCTGAATGAATTTAATCACATTTTCTTGTATAAATAAGTGTTTTATTTACATCACTTAATTATACATGGTAGGCTATCAAAACTAAATGTATGCGTTACATAAAGCAAATTGTGATTAACTTAATCAGCTAATTGAAATACATCATGTAAAATGAAAATAACTTGCAAAATAATTTATTATAATTCACTACACATATCTTTCACTTGATCATCTCTGTTTTGATTTTTTTTTTACTAATCTTTTAATTTTTTCATATAATGTATATTATAGACCAGCATTTTCGAAACGTTTAAAACTGACACACCACTTCCAACGTCACGACTCGACAACTCAGGTAGCACGTGAGTACAACTTTCTGCTCCGATTTGCTCAGAACTCGTAATTACAATATTTATGACCCTACTTGAAGAGCACAGAAATTGGACTGACAAACATATTTTACTGCTGTACGCTCTTAAAAATAAAGGTGCTTCACAATGCCATAGAAGAACCTTTTTGTCTAAATGGTTCCATAATCAACCTTTAACATCTGAAGAACCTTTCTGTTTCACAAAAGCTTCTTTGTGGCGAAAGAAGGTTCTTCAGATTATAAAAGGGTAAGAAAGAGATGGTTCTTTAAAGAACCTTTGACTGAATGTTTCTTTGTGGAACCAAAAATGGTTCTTCTATGGCATCGCTATGAAGAAACATTTAAGCACCTTTATTTTTAAGAATGTATGAGCAAAAGACACTTTGATCTAGTTTGGTTGAGTCTGAAGGATGGGTGACACAAGGCTTTGTATAAATATAGATGGAGAGTCCAATCACGTGTCAGTAATTGCAGCTTTGTTTCACCAATGTGCAGAGTTGATGGGTTTTCTAGACCTAGATGAGCACAATCCTTCAGGTGGAAATACAGAATGGATAGGTGACCAGAAACGGCTGATAATAATGGCCAGCCTGACATGTAGCACTTGATGATCGAGACCAAGCCTTTGACATTGAATTCTAATAAATATTGGCGGCCTATCAGGAAAAGGAATGAGTAGAAAAGATTTTCCAGGATTCTGACAGCCCGGTCGTGTAAGAGGACCAGGACTTTAATGAGGAGCTGGGTGGAGTAGTTTTTCGAGAAAGGACTCATTATATTTTTGCATGATCAAAAGAAATTTGGTGGAGGGGGGTTTTGGCCAGGAGGGAGAAGACAGTCTTGCTGAGCTTGAGTCAAAAGCAATCGGTAGCCATCCAGTCTGATATGTCAAGGAATGCACAGATCTTTTCTCAGATTACAGATGCAAAGGCAGATGGGGGGAATGAGTTTGTGTTATCTGCGCAGCATGGATAGAAACACCATCTGATTACAGGCTGTTCCAAACAATCTGATGTGGGTGGGTGGAGAAGAAAAGCACCTCTGATTCCTGTGGAACCCCAGTGGGTTGATAAGAGTGGGCTATGTCACCTTATTTTAGAGTCTAATAAAAGCAAATTACTAAAGTAGATTTGCTGTTCACCACACAATGCTGAAGAAAGCAAATGTTTCTACTGTATATTTAATGCATTAAAGCTAAGAATACAAAGGTCTAAGGTCATGTGATGTATAAAATAATGAGTGCATTGAGAGTTCTAGTGATCTTTCAAAGAGATGCTGTGGGCAAAACATTCCCTAAGCCAATGCTATAATGAGCTGATTTAAAATTCCTTACACACGTGTTATTTTCAGGTTTTAGGAAATGCAGTACATACAAAAAATATTTTTCTCACCCTCATGCCATTCCAAACCAAAATGATTTTTATTATTATGTTGAACAAAATATATGTTTTTTTTGTATGGACAAAAACTTTTCTTCATGAGAAACTATGTCACATCTCAGGTCAAGTTTACACTACTTGCACTTCTACACACGCACACAAACCTACTAGTTACTAAGAGAAATAACAGTTAGTCATTCATTGCATACATCATCTATCTTTCATCAGAGAATGGCCCACTGCGGTGCCCGGGGAGCAGTTGGGGGTTCGGTGCCTTGCTCAAGGGCACCTCAGTCATCGTATTGAAGGTGGAAGAGAGCGCTGTACATTCACTCCCCACACCTACAATCCCTGCCAGTACGAGACTCGAAACCACAATCTTTGGGTTACGAGTCCGACTCGCTAACCATTAGGCCACGACTTCCCCGTTAACTGTAAACGGTAATTTATTCTCCACATACTGTAGAATCATAGATTATTTCTTGTTAAAAATACTCTTTATATTCAGTAATCTGTACCTTAAGGTTAATAGATCTGGGTCTGTGTGCAGTTAGACTAGCGACATGCGCATATTATGTTATTCTAACCCCTCTTTAAAAAGGTGTTACTTCCACAGCTGGGCATTACAATATATGTTATTTTTATTTGTACATTTAAATTAAATTAGCAAATAAAAATAGTCAAACCTCATTGGCTGCACTGCTCATGAAGATGGCTTTTAATGCGGTGACGATATATTACTTGGATGGTGTGACTTGTTTTAAGATATCTAGAAGTCACATATTCCATGTACAGAAACAAAGCATTATGTGAAACAACAAGAAAAGTACATTTGATCCTTACCCATTTGGCTGGGATTGACTGCAGAGTCTGGGAACTGTGTGAAGAAATCTTGGATGGGTCCTCGTGGATCCTGGGTGGCACAACGGAGCCAAGCTGGAACGGAGCAGGACCTGTACACACTTACGAAAGGCCATGCTGTCCTGCTGTGCAAGCATGTGGGCTATGAATGAGCAGGCTCTGCATCAAATTTTGGGGTGTTCTTTGTTTCAAGGACAAAGCTGCAAGCTCCATGGTAAGGCCAACCCTGAGGTAGACAAGGTTAAACACACAGAGAAAAGTAGAGAGAGTGAAGCCTTGGTCTTAAAGGGATAGTTCACCCAAATTCAGTCATTAATTACTCACCCTCATGTCGTTCCAAACCCGTAAGACCTTCATTCATCTTCAGAACACAAATTTATATATGTTTTGATGAATACTTTTTGTGCGCAAAGAAAACAAAAATAACGACTTTATTCAACAATTCTTCTCTTCCGGGTCAGTCTCTGTCACCATTCACGAGAGCATCACGACGCATGCGCTGCGCTTTGTTTACAAGCAGAGGAATGCACATGTATGCGTCATGGTACTGTCATGAATGCACAGGGGAGAATGACCCGAAAGAGAAGAAATCGTTGAATAAAGTCATTATTTTTGTTTTCTTTGCACACAAAAAGTCTTCTCATAGCTTCTTAAAATTAAGGTTGAACCACTGATGTCACATGAACTATTTTAGCGATGTCTTTACTGCCTTTCCGGGCCTTCAACGTGGTAGTTGCGTTGCTGTCTATGCAGGGAAAGAAAGCTCTCGGATTTCATCAAAAACGTCTTCTGATTTGTTTTCCGAAGATGAACGGTCTTATGGGTTTGGAACGACATGAGGGTGAGTAATTCATGAATTACTCATTTTTATTTTGGGTGAACTATCCCTTTAAAGATCATGTATAACTTGCAGAAAAGAAACCAGCACAAGACAATACACATTTCTTTATCTTTATAGTATAGTTTAAAACTCAGTTCTTGACAGGAGTTTGTCATCTGATAGTATCCTGTATCCTTGATCTTGGGATCAAATCAGATCATGAGATTCTGATCAGAACAAATGATGGATCACGGGAGTCAGATCAAAATCAACCTACAGGCCCTCTCTCCCCGATACAATCTCAGAAAGATTTTTTTTCGTTCTTCATATTTGACCTTGACAGACTATGTAACGAAATGAATCAGAGAGAATTCCCACATCAAAGAAAATATGAAATCATCATGGACCAGTAGCAGTTTGAATGTATTAAATGCATTTGTGCACCATTAGAAGAAAGTCCAAATCTTCCTTTGGCCAGATTTAGTTTGAAATGACATCACACCCGTTTGTTCTTCTATTTCTCTTTAAAGGGGTCATATGATGCGATTTCAATTTTTCCTTTCTCTTTGGAGTGTTACAAGCTGATTGTGCATAAAGAAGATCTGTAAAGTTGCAAAGACTAAAGTCTCAAATCCAAAGAGATATTCTTTATAAAAATTAAGAGTCAACCACGCCTACCTAAAACGGCTCATTCTAACACGCCCCCACATGTCTACGTCACTATGTGGAAATATTAGTATAATGCTGCTCAAATGTGCACGCAAAGAAAGAAGGCGTGGTTTCAGGAACAGCAGTAGTGTTGATGCAGCCATCACATCACAAGGGTCAGGGTCACATCACAGGAGAGTGAACTGCCTGTCAGAAATCATAGCACGTCAGCTGTCTTAACCCGCGGCTTGTGTACTGCATCATCACTGTGTCTGTCACACGACTCTGTTGCCCTTTCGGGCTTGAACTGATGGTAAAACTAACGACATTATTAACTGTCTTGATATTTACTTTGAAAGCTGACGCTCGCGATTATGGTAAGGGGCGTTACATTTCCGACGCGTGCTTGTGGTGTTCGGCCAATCACAATGCACTGGGTCAGCTGGCCAATCAGAGCAGACTGCGCTTGTCAAAGGAGGGGGCTTTGTTGAAAACTACGTGTTTGAGAGAGGCGGGGCATAGAGGACTTACAATAATGTACAGTATTTGAAAAATAATGTGTTTTTTGAACATTAAAGCATGTCAACATATTCTGTTACACCAAATACACAAAATAATGATCTTTAAAATAGCATCATATGACCCCTTTAAGTGTACTGGAGCCTTAAGAATAGAGATTTGAGATTTGGATCGAGGTGTGGCCTTATGGTTCAGATTCTATACATAGCTTTGGGTTAAGGCCAGGTTTGTTTTTTTTGGTTTGAATCTTAAATTAGTAGTGGTTGACCTGTACAGGTTTTTGAATGGGCAACGCTGATATAATATATCTCAACGGCCACCCCAAAACCCCTGGAAGAATGCAAGTTTGAAATCTGCCACCTTGCCTTATGGGCAGTAAGTTCAAACCACTTTAGATCTGCAGGAAAATTATATTATTTAAATGTTAAGTGGTTAATTGGCACCCAAAGCCCCAAGCAGCATCCCAAAACCTTCACTAGCGACCACTGAACTCTCATTCATGCCATTTAAGAGCCCTCCAATATGAGTCATTAGCATTGCTAACACAAATAAACTGTGAATATCAGCATGCATTACTTATTGTTGCATACTTTCATAACAGTGTAGTATTTGTGCAAAGCATTTTTGAAGTTAAGGAAAAAATAATTACCTTGGAATCTTGTAAAGCCTGCAGTATGATATCATTCAGTGTCTGGGTTTTGTGGTTTTAAACTAACTTCGAAATCCTACTAAAGTCTGAATGTGAATGTATCTTCAGTTTCTTACCGAGAAGCAAAGAAAGCTGTCAGCCGATAAGATTCACCTTGATTGAAACTATTTATATGAGACCACTTCTCTTAAATACTGCAATTTTGGATTTAGTATAATTGCCTTGCAGGAAGCCGCTTCACAGAATACTTACCCATTATGTCTTTTATATTTTTGAGGTAAGTGGAGGATGTTCACCTAAAACTGACAAAAAAATAAATAAATAAATAAAATAAAACCTACCTATGCTTGCTGTTAAGCACATATAACAATGGATGCAGGCACAATGGATGCAGCCATTTATTTACAAAGATCCAAATTCATAAACAAAGACATACACTGGAAAAAAATTGCTAAAAGAGTTTTGGATACTTAATTAAAAGAATTTTAATAATAATGACTGAAATAAGTTATTATTAGCTGAAAAGAATTTTAGCTATTGTTTGTTGTACAGTATATGGGCTGTGATCCACATCCTTTGCGTGTGTGTGTGTGTGTGTGTGTGTGTGTGTGTGTTGTTTATTGCTGATATACTGTTGATCACTACTGTGAATACTGCGGGATTGCACCAAGGTTTCCTGGGAAACTTCATTCATTCATTCAGCCCTATAAGGAATAAATTAAAAAACACTTTGAACTTTGACTAAATATAATTGTCACATCATTAAATATTCAAAAAAATGATATGATTTAGTATATAATATAATAATATAATTCAGTATAATAATAGTTTAGTTTAATAGTTTAATTTACTTTATTAATATTGTTAATTTCATGTGTTTTTTGAACATTAAAGCATGTCAACATATTCTGTTACACCAAATACACAAAATAATGATCTTTAAAATAGCATCATATGACCCCTTTAAGTGTACTGGAGCCTTAAGAATAGAGATTTGAGATTTGGATCGAGGTGTGGCCTTATGGTTCAGATTCTATACATAGCTTTGGGTTAAGGCCAGGTTTGTTTTTTTTGGTTTGAATCTTAAATTAGTAGTGGTTGACCTGTACAGGTTTTTGAATGGGCAACGCTGATATAATATATCTCAACGGCCACCCCAAAACCCCTGGAAGAATGCAAGTTTGAAATCTGCCACCTTGCCTTATGGGCAGTAAGTTCAAACCACTTTAGATCTGCAGGAAAATTATATTATTTAAATGTTAAGTGGTTAATTGGCACCCAAAGCCCCAAGCAGCATCCCAAAACCTTCACTAGCGACCACTGAACTCTCATTCATGCCATTTAAGAGCCCTCCAATATGAGTCATTAGCATTGCTAACACAAATAAACTGTGAATATCAGCATGCATTACTTATTGTTGCATACTTTCATAACAGTGTAGTATTTGTGCAAAGCATTTTTGAAGTTAAGGAAAAAATAATTACCTTGGAATCTTGTAAAGCCTGCAGTATGATATCATTCAGTGTCTGGGTTTTGTGGTTTTAAACTAACTTCGAAATCCTACTAAAGTCTGAATGTGAATGTATCTTCAGTTTCTTACCGAGAAGCAAAGAAAGCTGTCAGCCGATAAGATTCACCTTGATTGAAACTATTTATATGAGACCACTTCTCTTAAATACTGCAATTTTGGATTTAGTATAATTGCCTTGCAGGAAGCCGCTTCACAGAATACTTACCCATTATGTCTTTTATATTTTTGAGGTAAGTGGAGGATGTTCACCTAAAACTGACAAAAAAATAAATAAATAAATAAAATAAAACCTACCTATGCTTGCTGTTAAGCACATATAACAATGGATGCAGGCACAATGGATGCAGCCATTTATTTACAAAGATCCAAATTCATAAACAAAGACATACACTGGAAAAAAATTGCTAAAAGAGTTTTGGATACTTAATTAAAAGAATTTTAATAATAATGACTGAAATAAGTTATTATTAGCTGAAAAGAATTTTAGCTATTGTTTGTTGTACAGTATATGGGCTGTGATCCACATCCTTTGCGTGTGTGTGTGTGTGTGTGTGTGTGTGTGTGTGTTGTTTATTGCTGATATACTGTTGATCACTACTGTGAATACTGCGGGATTGCACCAAGGTTTCCTGGGAAACTTCATTCATTCATTCAGCCCTATAAGGAATAAATTAAAAAACACTTTGAACTTTGACTAAATATAATTGTCACATCATTAAATATTCAAAAAAATGATATGATTTAGTATATAATATAATAATATAATTCAGTATAATAATAGTTTAGTTTAATAGTTTAATTTACTTTATTAATATTGTTAATTTCTAATTAATAATGAGCAGCATAGGGGAAAATGTAATAGAATTGTCTGTTCTTAGTCATGGTCTTACAAACCAACAATTCTTTTGGTTAGTCACTCTGACCAGCCAAAATGTGAACAAAACTCTTCTAAAATTATTAAAACAGTCAG